GAATAGTCACAATATGACAAAACACTTCTCATGCAACATCAAAGTCAAATTTGAAGTTTGACACCTCATCTGAGAGCCGTTAGATCAAAAAATATCAATGGTGTCACTTGCTTACAAATCAGAGTCGTTGATCTTTTTCTAACTAATGGCTCTCAGATGAGGTGTCAAATTTCAAATTTGACACTGGTGTTAAATGATCATACCTCATATATATATATATATGGAAATATTTTTCTTATGTTGTTGTAGATGAGTTATCTTATCTAAGCGAAACAAATTTATAAGAGGGACTCACAAATAATTGGAGAGAAAAAAATAGAAGTGAAATCCACTTTTGTAATGTGTGTATAGAAATTTGGTTTATCTCATGTTGAATGAGATAAATATAACCCATATATATATATATATATATATATATAGGGTTTATATTTCTGCAGCTGCTGTACGTGCAGCAATCAAATACTTGCTATATATATACGTGAAAGTATTAAATGTAGGAAATCTTAACTATACAAAAGATGAATGTATTAGATGTAAGGAATCATAACCACACACTTGTCATTGTTGTACGTAAAACGGCTGTAGAAATGATTTTACCCAAATATATATATATATATATATATATATATATATATATATATATATATATATATATATATATATGTGCAGGATATTCTTACACTGGTGTAAGAGTTAGAAGTCTTACACTCAATCTTGACCATTGATCCACTTGTATCCAATGGCTCACATTACTAAAAAATTTGAGCCCTTAGATATAAATGGGATCAGTGGACAAGATTAAGAGTGTAACTTACACTGGTGTAAAATGATCCTAACCCTACATATATATATATACATATATATATATGGGGTAAGATCCTTTGACACCGGTGTCAAAATTAAAGTTTGACACCTCATTTAAGAGCCGTTAGATCAAAAAAGATCAACGACTCTGATTTGTAAGCATGTGACACCATTGATTTTTTTTATCTAACGACTGTTAGATAAGGTGTCAAACTTTAAATTTGACACCAAATCCTAACCGTTGATTTTCGTCAATCAACGGTTATCATTTATTGAGAATCAAACACATTATTTAATTATTTTTTTAATAAATAACAACCGTTGATTGGCGAAAATTAAAGGTTGAAATTTTGTGTCAAATTTCAAAGTTTAACACCAGTGTCAAAGGATCTGATCTTATATATATATATATATATATATATATATATATATATATATATATGATTAAACTTTATATAAGAAGAATTTGTTTTCCTACACACAATAAATATGTAAGTCCCACTAAATTTTTTCTCTTTTCTCTTTTCAATGGGATTTACATGTTTATTATGTGTAGAAGAAGAAATTTTTTTCTTATAACATGAAAAATCTTTAACCCCGTGTGTGTCTATATATATATATATATATATATATAATATTTTCCAATGTCTCTATCTATTTGTCTAGGAACAGAACCAGCTCTTTTTCAATCACAGCAATCCATTTCTCATATTTTTTGGATTGAGTTAGATGTTGCAAGGTATTTGAAAATATTTAATTTCATAATAAATAAAATTATTTTTGAGATAATAAATTTTTTGTTAAATAAAATTAATTCTAAAATGAGACTTACTGAATTTTAAAAATATAATTATATTTAAATTCCAAAAGTATTTTTATTTTATTATCAAAATACAAAATTATTCTAAATTCACTTTTAAATATAATTTAAAATATAAATTAATTTTTTAGTATTAATTTTTTAAACATAAATTCTTTTAAAAAATAAGTTTATCAAAAACTAAAGTGAACTACGCTGAGAAAAGAGATTGGAAAAGAAAAATTAGATGATAATAAAAGGTGATTTGCTCATTTTCTTTTACAATCTAATGAGAAATTTTAACGTGTGCATAGGATGATGCCACTCTCCTCAGTCCTCAAACTTATCTAAACTCTATAAGGTAATAGGCATTAAAAATAGAAGGAAAAACCAACTTTGCTTGCGTGAGTGAGCACATTTTTAATATAAAATAACAAGAGAGAAGAGACGAGATGAACATTGAAATAAATCTGTATATTGAATTGATTTAGGAGAGTACAATATATAAAGAAACACTAATGGACTTAACTCATACCTAATCTAAATCTTAATGAAATAAAGAAATAGATCTTCACAAACAATAAAGATATTCTTTCCAACACTTTCTTCAAGCGGGAGGGTATAGATCATAAACAACAAGCTTAAACAAGAAAGACTAAAAAATATAACAACAAAATAAATGAGTGGAGATTGTAACAACTAACAACTCTATAACTCACGTTAAAGAAAAATAACAAACATAATAAATTAAAATAAAATATTATAGATGGATGGACACTTCATCCTGGGAAGAAAGAAAACTAAAAATATGTTTTACGGAATATAAATAGGAGAAATCGACAGCAAATCAATTGAAATGAACATCAATCCGAAGAGCTGGATAAGACATCGGCCAAAAAGGCTGAAAAAGACATTGCTGCAACTAAGATACAAGCTGACGGAGCCACTTTAACTAGAATAATCTGCGGATCAGGCAACAACGGAAAAAGACATAAGCCAAAAGAGCTGGGAAAGACATTACTGCAACAGGGATACAAGCCGACGGAGCAACTTTAATTGAAATAATCCGTGGACCAGGCAACAACGGAGAAAGACATCAGCCAAAAGGGCTAGGAAAGACATTGTTGCAACTGAGATGCAAGCCAACGGAGCCAGTGTAACTGGAATAATCCGCGGACCAGGCAACAATGGAGATAAATGCTACAACTGAAATACAAGCTACGGAGCTAGTGTAACTTGAATAATACGCGGACAAGGCATCAACGGAGATAAATGCTCCCCCTGAATGGGAGGCCAAAATAAAGTCAAACAATGATAAAAATAAATCAAATACAAGCCAAATCAGACTTGAATAACACCATAAACATATGCGAGAATAAAATAAATTGGCCAAATACAAGCCATAAAAGAAAATAAAAATAATAAATCACCGAAGAAGAAGAAAACATAGCTGGAAGAATCAAGATTCGACCAGAGAAGAAAAGATGATGTGCTGGAGGAAAGAGACGCGATCAGAACAATAACTTGATTTGGTTGCTGGAGAGAGAGTAAGGGAACAGACGGGGAAGCCAAATCTCTCGCATAGGGTGATATCTATCTACTATTATATTAAAATTATGAAAAAGAGTAAGAAAAGAGGGACAATAGTTTCTCTCGTTAGACTCTGATACTATATAAAATAACAAGAGATAAGAGGAACATTGAGATAAATCTATATATTAAATTAATTTAAGAGAGTACAATATATAAAGAAACACTAATAAACTTAACCCATCCTTAACATAAATTCTAATGAAATAAGAAAATAGATCTTTACAAATAATAAAAATATTTTAAAGATATTCTTTACAACATTTATATTCAAATAAAATAAGTATAGCCTCTTACCGCCAAAGCCTTTTGGAATGACAAGCCAACTTTTCGTCGGTCCTTTCAGTTTACCTACCTCCATCATGTGTGAAATCTTTGGCTTGTTTGAAATCACTTTTCAAAAACAGTTCTTTTGATTTTGAGAAAAAAAAAATCAGTTTAAAAAATATGTTTGGGTTATTTTTTTTTTTATTTTGATTTTTAATTTTTAAAATAAAAAAGCATAAAAAACAACTATTTGATAACTATTCTATAAAATAGTTAAAAAAAAGAACACAATTAAATAAATCCTTTATTTATTTATTTTTCTTATTTCTTCTCATGACATCATATGAATTGTATATATTTTTATTTATGTGTTAGAAATAAAAATTATCGCTTAGAAAATAAGAAAATTTATCCTGTATATATTATACTATGATCACCGCAAGATAATTAGGATTTGGATTCTCTACGTGAAAAAATGATCATGTGAATATATTATTTGATCACAATCATTTATTAATGATGACATAAGAGAGAAAAATATATAATTTAAATAAGTAATTATGATATAATATGATGACTTTCTCATATGAAATGATCCAAATCCAGATAAGTAGGACGACTATTGGACCTTGAACCGAATACGTATTTGCAAAATGCAATAATTACTCACAATGGGTAAAGTATTCAGTCATCCAATGGGTTTGGACGGGAGGATGTGCGAGTACGTACTGGTGCTGATGCTGGTTAGATAGACGTCCAGGATGTATTTTGTATGGCGGTATAAAAATAATAAATTTAATTCTCATTATTGATCATTGATTTATTTATATATAAAGATCCATATAAATAAGAGTAAAATTAATAATAAAATTGAGAATTTAACTTACACGGATTTTATTTGAATTGAATTAGACGTTGCAACTTTAATTAATGTTCTTTAATTTGTTAACTTTTAAAGTTGGTTTTTGACTTTTTGTATTAGCATAGGATTTTTCTTTTACTTAGTTTTAAAAAAGAGAGGGCATAATCCATTAAATAAAATGCAAATAATGAGTTGATGATATAAAAATAATTATTGATAATATGGTATCGGATTTAAAGTTGTTATTAGCAATGAATTTGGCTATAAATCTTTTACTTAAATGTAGTTAAGGACACACATTGTCTTACTTGCGTGAACTTTTCCATTGCCATCTTAAAAATTAATTTTTATTCAAAAAATTGTTGGTCTAATTAATGAGTTCTATTTAAATTTTAGGATTTGACCTGGCCAAATGATGCTTGATTAGATTTTTGAGAGTTGCAATTATGAAAGAGAATGGAAAGGCTCAAATCTAAAACCTTATTAGTCTCTACAAAAATCACTTCTTAACCGGTCATATATCTCAGTGGTGTCGACATCGATCTGTTTATCATCCATTGAACACTCATTATACACCCACTGGATGCGACGTCGACAAATCTGGATTTTTATTACAAATAATCCTCACATAGAGTCTGTTTGTTTATTTATATATACACATAGACTATAGAATGAGCGTTAATGCGTTGGATTTACTTGAGCTTCATCGATAAAGAGAAGGTGATATGATAAACGAGGTTTGACTAAAACCTCAAGTGGGGTGGTTTTGATGTTCGTGAGACCAAAGGTGGCGCTCATATCAACCTGGACATTGGACGGGGTAGTGATCTCAAATGCTTGCAAGAAAGCAGCTAATGCCAAGTGTGTCATATGAAGGCCAAATGATATACCAGGGCAGGCCCTTCTTCCGCCGCCAAAAGGAAGCAGTTCAAAATGTTGACCCTTAACATCCAAAGCCTTGTGCGTGGTCATGAACCTTTCTGGTTTAAACTCTAACGGGTCTGACCATACCCGTGGGTCTCTATGCAGCTTCCAAAGGTTCAAAATCATTCGAGTGCCTGCCTCGATATGGTACCCACCTAAGGTACAATCCTCTGTGAATTCACGCGGGCCTGAGAGTGGCCCAGCTGGATACAACCGCAGTGTCTCTTTAACTACAGCTTGAAGGTATTCTAATTTGTTAATATCCGATTCATTCACTAGTCTTTCCTTGCCCACTTGCTCATCCAATTCATCTTGAATTTTCTTCAAAGCATGACGATTATTCAGCAATAACGACAGTGCCCATGTTATAGTAACTGTTGTAGTATCCGTTGCCCCAGCAATCAGCGTCTGCAAAACAGAACAATACCATCAACGGTTTAAAATTTTTTGAATATCATCTCATTCGATCTTAGCCATAAAATACAACAACAATAATAAAGCTAATTAATAAGATGGGTATATAAACGGGTAAGGTATAAATAATAACATAGAATCATCTATAAAATCAAAGGGGAAGACATGAAATGGGAATTGATGTAGTGTTGCGTACCAAGCAGGTGGCTTTGTTGACAGTGTCAGCATCGTAACCATTAAGGTCAACGCCGTCAAGTACAGAGAACAAGACATCAATGAAATCTTGCTCTGTTTTAGTCTCACCAGAATCTGATCTTCTCTGGCGATGTTCTTCTAACCATTCACAAACGATGCTGTCCATTTCTTTAGCGGTGTTTTTCATCTCCTTGACTTGACCACCCAATAAATCAAGCCATCCAAGAACGGGAATGGCGTCTCCAATAACAGGCGATCCTGTTAAACTAAAGAACTCTCTAAAGACCCTCCGAACCCGCCTTACCTGTTTCTCATCTGCACTTTTGTTGGAGTATCGCTTTCCAGCAATCATTCTCAGAATCACGTTGAGATTCATGTCTCCTAACCACTGCTTCATCTCCACCAAGAAATCACCTTTTTTCTCAACCCATGCTCTGTGTAGTTCTTTCAGCGAGATCTGCATCTCTGAGTCTCTAATATCTCGAAGCAATTCAAATCGGCGAGTGGAGAGTAACTCTGAAGCAGTTATCTTACGCATCTGGCGCCAGAATTCCCCGTAAGGGGAGAACCCAAAATTAGCATAGTCATGTCCCAAGATTTTTGCGGCTGTAAATTTGGGACGAGATGAGACTATGACATCAAGATTGGTGAAACACTCCTTGGTTAGCTCCCAAGTATTGACCACCACAGCTGGGTGCACACCGATTTTGATGCTGAATATTGGTCCATGCTTGTCTGCTAAGGCTCCTAGGGTTATGTGAGGAGGTTGACCGGAACCACCTAAGAGGTGAAGATGACCGATCAAAGGCCAGCCACCAGCGGCCACCGGTGGCTTGCGGCCATCACCTGCTCTATCCCTCTTCGTAAAGTAAAAGAAGTAAGAAATTATTACTATGCCGACAACTCCGGCAACTGCTGCGTTCAGATACTGAATCATGAGACTCATGAATGACAACTTGCGATGTCTCTGTTGAACGCTAAACTCTAAAGTATTTGTTTGTAGCCCTCTAACTCTAATGACAGGGAATGCGTGCAGGCAACGCACTGTGATGTCCTTAAATGTAAGATTCCAACATATAAAAGAAAAAAACAGTTAAATTAAATGTAATCAATGTATACCATTTTTTTTTTTTTTTGAATAGGAATCAATACATACTTAGTCAAAAGTGTAATTAGAATATTACAAAAAAGAAGAAGAAGTGTAATTAGAATATATAAAGGAATACCAAAAATTAAGGACTAATAGGTTACGCCTTAGTGAATTAATTCTTAATATATTAGTAGAGAGTTAATGATTTGATACGCGAACTATATTATAATGGGTTTGTTTTTTTTAATGGATGTAGATAAATTATTTGTATTGAATACAAAATAATATTATTTTAGAACGAAAATTAAAGTATTTTTGCAATTATAATTTATTTTAAGGTTATAATAATTTTTATCATTATAATTTTTTAATCTTTTAACTCAAAACAATATCATTTTGAGAGTGAAAGTAAATAATTTATCTACATTCACCATAGAAACATTAAAAGTATTTTAATAGACAAAACTCTAAGAAAATGAGTTATTGAGAAAGTTTTATAATCACAACAGTATTAAATTAGTTTCATAAAAAGCTTAAAAAAACTTAAGAAAATTAATTAGGACTTTAAGGCCTACAGTCACTTGATTGCAACTTAATCATATATTATATTATGTTTTATGCTTTTTTATTTATATGATCTGAGTGCGGGGTAACTGGGTAAGGTACAGCACCTAGCCTCCATTTTATAGTTATAATATTTTGTCTCTAACAAAGATAGAATTAATTTAAGCATGTCAACACACCCATTAAAAATTTATTAGACTTGGTCAGTTCAGTCATGCCATTATTTAATATCAATTAAGTAACATTTTTCTTAAATTATTGCATTTACTGTAAAAAAAATATTATTATTTGAATAAAATTACATCTATAATTGTATTTTGAAGATTTGTTCGGTACGTTTGTAGTTTGGAGTATTCATATTTATTTAAAACTTTTTTTTTCTACAGTTATATATATTTTTATAAATATTAATAAGGGTAAATTATGATAGTACGCAAGTCACTTTATTAAAAAAAAAACTTAAAATTAAACAGTAAAATTTTGAGAAGAAGTTTTTAGTAAATCATTAGGATGGAACGGGGGTTTGATTGAATAATTTATATGAAATTATAAGTTTAAAGTTTATCCCTGAACGAGTCGGGCATATTTAATTTCAAAAAATAATTCTAGCTCTACCTCAATAAATTTATTTTGAAATTTGCGTTGGTTATGTTATTTAAATGATATTTTTGGGGGATTGACTATTGTGTCCTTATATTTAAAAAATTAACCACTTCGCCCATTTGTTAAAATTATGTATTAATTTTAACATTTTATCAAAATTATAATCAATTTGTCTCTATTTGCTCGTATTGATTGCAAGTTACTCGAATAATTGGGTCAATTACTTAAGTAAATGACTTACTCAAGTAACTGGTCCAATTACTAGAGTAACTCAAGCAAGTAAACAACTCAAGTTTGAATCCACAAATATTTTTAATTCAAAACAAGTTCTAATATTTTGTACATGGATAAATCGACTTGGAATAAGCGCTTGTGAGTCCTTTATAATTGAGGACAGTCCTCGTTCAATTAAAGGTGTCAAAACAATTGAGGATAGTCCCACATATTTGAACTTCATATATGATTACGAGAGTCTAAAATAATTGAAGACAATCTCTATTCAAACTCTTTATACCCTAAATTAAATTTACTAAATTAATTTTTATGTACATATTTATGTTCAGGTAGTGTTGTTTTTAAAATATTTATGCTCATTTATTTTGTCATATCCGAAACCCATGAAAGAAAAAATTGGAATTTTTGTGACCAAATCTCCTCTCTGATTGTCATTGCGTAGATATCGAAAAGTTACATGAAATAATTTTTTTTTTCCAATTTGGACAACCAACCAAAAGTTATGCCTTTATGAAGTTTAAATCATTTTAGGGTTTAAAAAATTGAATGGAGACTGTCCTCCATTGTTTTGGATCCGCAAACACCCATCCCAAGTTCATTAATACATTTGTACGACATTAAAACTTTAGTTTGAATAAAAATTATTCGTGGACCCAAATTTGAATTGTTGAGTTGCTCATTGCCCTTATTTACTCGGGTAATTAAAGCAACTTACTCAAGTAACTGATTTGGTTATTCGAGTGAATATCAGTCATTATGATCAAATAGAGGTAGAGTGAGATATAAATTTCAAATAGAAGCAAAGTGATAATTTAAAAAAAAAAAAACTAGAACAAAAGGTTCAATGACTTCAATCAGCCGGATAATCTTACTATTATGTCAATTCCAATATGACTGGTGCCAATCAATTTTGTAATATTATCCCCGCGGTAGCCGTCAATTTTATCCTCGATAAAGAAAATGAGTGAATACCCTTTTTAGTCCCTGGAAATATTTGCGAAGCACAATTTAGTCCCTCGGTTTAAAAAAGTCACATTTCAGTGTTTCATTTTTGAAAAAAAGGGACACGTTTATCCTTCTGTTAAGTGGAAAGTGACGACCCTGTTGACGGACGCCACCTGGAACGTTAAGTGGCTGAGTCACTAACGTCCTGCCCACGTGGAGAGAAAACGACGTCGTATTGATAGCTGCCTTGTGTCTAGTTGGATGTTTGGACATGTGACTGTTGTATGAAAGGGTGAGTGACCCAATATAGTCCCTGTCAAATTTAGAACCCTAAATCAGCCTAAGAATAAAAAAAAACCCCAAAACACATTTTGTTGAAGATTGAATAGAGTGTCAAGTAGAAGGTGTTTACTGGCTATTTTCTGGTGCATAGAAGAAGATGACTATGTTATCTGGCTTGGGAGATCAAGTTTTCTGGTGCATTTGGGAGTAGAACAACCTGACGGAATTTTGGACGAAGGTGCAAGATGTTGTTCAGCAAGATCTGAGTATGAAGGTGCAGGAAAGAAAGTTGTGATGATTGCAATGGTTGTAACAATGAAATGCAATGTACGAAATGTAGTTTTTCTTGAATGAAATTGAATGACTTGTTGACCATTGTGATGAATAATGTTGAGAAGATGCACTTTTGGTCCCTGGATATTGGAACCTAATGATATAAACTAGAACCCAATTTAGTCCCTGGATATTGGACCCTAATGATATAAACTAGAACCCAATTTAGTCCCTGAATTTTTTATCGAGGGCCAATTAGGTCCTTGAAAAAATATATCGGGGCACTTTTTGGTCCCTGACAGTTAAAATTTGGACATGACCTGTTTAGACTAAATTGGACACAAGCTGCAATTCAAAAGTTGTTCATCACAAAGACATAATGCAGCAATTCAAAAATCAGCAAGCTGCAGCAATTCAAAAGCTGCAATTCATACAAGCTGCAATCCAAAAATTGGACATGAACACATTGCATTCAAATTTGTCCAAACAGCAACGACCAAACAATACCCAGAATTGGACCACCTGCATTGTAGCCAGAATAAAAAAGATTCATACACAAATTAACAAATCAGCATACAGATACAGCTTGCAGCAATGGGAAACAACTGATATAAAAAAGGAAGTTGTAGTCATTTATAATGGAACTTGTAGTCAGTTACAATTGCATACCCTTCCATCATAATTAAAGGCTTGTCAAAAAACAGAACCTATGATGGGCACCAAAACCATTCTAAAACATCCATTTCATACACAAAAAACAGAACCTACGATGGGCACCAGAACCTATGGGGGTACCAAAAAATACAGTCATGAATATTGTTGCCTATACAACAAAAAAGTGAACCCCTATACAAAAAAACTGTATCCAAGCATGATTCAAGCTGGTCTTGGTGGCCTAAACCCAGGTGTGGCCATGAAAGCCATAAGCCTGCTCCTTGTGCCACTGCTTGTTGCATTGATGGTTTCAGTTGACAATTGTTCTGCTGGTGGTGGGGCTGTAGGTGGTGGGTTGTTGCCCCTAGTGGCGCTTTCCTTTGTCATCCACTATCCCATTTTTATAAGTCAGCTTTCCTTTGTCATTCCTAACCAACACACCTCCGTGATGATATCTTATAACTATATAATCTTCCATATGCATACAAAACAGAACATAATCATTTTTTACACTACCATCATATTAATTTACAATATCATACAAGTAATCACTACTTAACAATATTAATTGGGGCTTTTTCAATGGCTGCATAAAACTAATTCCACGACACTGTCATAAATAAATTTGGGGCTTTTTTGGTAATCACTACACACACCAACTTAAAATAACAAATGGGGGACCATATTCCCTAACTTTGTCATTCCTTAACCACACATGGGGGACCACATTAAGCAAAAACACCATTTTAAATACGAAAGAGGGACCACAGATAATAAACAAAGAAACGAATTTCACGTACCTTGCACGACAGTAACCAGAGTCACAACCGTTTAACGATCTCTTCAACCTAAACCACACTACTTCCACAAGCTTCCAACTGCAGAAGCCACGTACAACAACAAACCACCATGGGTCACCAACCTTCACCGCAACTGAAGCTCACGAGCTGAGGAAATGGGGGAGGAAATGGCGGGTATGGACGACTTGTGTGACTGTGTCAACAACAGGTTTAGATCAACTCACACGCCATTCCTCAAACGACGTCGTTCCCTTTCTGAAATACCTGATACAACCTTCCAATGTAAAACGACGTCGTTCCTTTCTCTCCACGTGGGCATGACGTTAGTGACTCAGCCACTTAACGTTCCAGGTGGCGTCCGTCAACAGGGCCGTCACTTTCCACTTAACAGAAGGATAAACGTGTCCCTTTTTTTTAAAAATGAAACACTGAAATGTGACTTTTTTAAATCGAGGGACTAAATTGTGCTTCGCAAATATTTTCAGGGACTAAAAAGGGTAT